AGGCTCAGTGAGTGCAGTGAGGACAGGGTGGCGGGAGGCGGGGTGGATGGGATGCTGGGCTAGATCTGCTTCCCGGGAGGCCAGTCTCACTGCCCAGAGGTTGGTCCTGGCATGGGGAAGGAGCAGGAGGGGCCAGGCCTGCTGCCCTATGGCCTGTGAGCTGAGCAACTTCCGTTCTCAAAAGGCTGAGAACAACTTAAAGCTGTTAATAGCAGCTTTCTTCATAAACACCAAAGCCTGGAATCCACGATGCCTGTCAGAAGACGAGCGGACGTCACCTGTGGTCCCTGCAGACAACAGCTTCGCTCATGATAAGAGGAAGTGAGCGGTGGAGGGGGAAGACGCACTGCTGAGGGAGGAGGGGTCGCTGCAGGCGCTGGGGGCATCGGGGAGCCCATGCCTGCCACACGTCACCGGGCTCTTCCTCCCACGCACACACCTGCCTCTCTGGCAGCCCGGTGCCGCGGTGCAGGTGCGCAGAAGCTGGCCGCCTCCTCACCTGCCTTCCTGCTCCACGTGTGGCCCTGTCGGCTTCTGGAAGAGCAGGCAAGTAAACGTGGGCAGTGCCACATCTGTGCTGAGGTTGGCCCGGTGCAGAAGTGTCCGGTGCAGGATGGGCACCTGCGGCCCCCGGGAGAGACTCGGAGGAGGTCAGCTTGGCAGCTCCCCCTCAAGTCAGTACCAGCCACGTGCCCAGGTGCAGAGCCCCTTCTAAGTCGCACTGTGAGCGTCTCGTGTGGGACCCAAGTCAACGTGGCCGTCTAGATTAGTGCCACTGCCCCACACTGCTGGGAAGGAACCGAGCTTGGTGTGGGCCTGCCACTTGTCCAAAGCCTCAGTGCTGCCATGGTGTGGGACCCTCAGCACCAAGCAGTCCCCTTCTGCACCCCCAGAACCCTTACTGCAGTGAGACACCCCCCATGCTCAGGCCACGGGGACTGGGAGAACCCACGACTGTCGCCACCTACCAAGGATGTGCTACAGGCCACACGGGAAGTGCTCGTGAACGTGCGTTCACATACACAGGCTGCTCCCATCTGCCCCTTGGTGGCCGCCCCGCTCGGAGCCTCAGGCTGGATGCCTGAGACACACAGCAGTGCTGAGCTCACACCCCACGTGTGATTCCAGAATCAGTGTCTTGCCTCTGGCCCTGGTGGGATCCTGCAGGACCTTGGGTGCTCCCGGGCACAGAGAAAAGGGACCCCAGTAGCTCAGGGGTTTTGCTACAGTCACGTTTGTTGTGGTCTTGGCCCAGCTGTCCAGCCTCTCAGACTGACCATGGGTTCTCTCATTATGGTGACAAGAAACAGTCCTTCTGGGCTGTGTGCGTGGGGTGGCCCTTGTGAACCACAGGGAGTGGGATTAGCAGTGACAGACCAGAGCTAGAGTCCTTGTTTCAGCAAGCACCCCGTCCACCTGGAGCACTAAGGACGTCGGCTGGCCCTGCCTCCAGCACAGAGCAGAGCAATGCTTTCCCAAGGGGACTCTGAAGACTTTGGGACCCCAGTCCCCTTGGGAGGGAGAGCGGTGCTGAGCTGTGTAGAGCCGAGCTCTTGCTCCCTGCACGCACAGCACGCATAGGAACCGGCAGCAGTTCCTCCACCCCCGTGGCAGCAGAGGCCGGCCCGCGCGGGAACAGGAAGTGTGCGTGCGGGCCGCGCAAACCCTCAATTATCCCAGCACACATCTGCAAAACCTGCTCGGCTGGAAACAGGCCTCAGCTATTTCCAACTGCCTCAGACCCCTTCCTGCCTGGAAGTTGGTTTTGGGAAAATAAAACGAGCAGAAGTGTCTGGGTGTGCGGCTGGTGCCGACTTAGCCACACGGATAGGTGTGCACCAGCCCCCGTGGGAGGGCAGAACCAGCTCTGGCACTCTGGTCAGAGACCTCCTGCTGGAAGGCTCGATGGCCACGCACAGTTTCAGCACCGGGGCAGGAGGATTCCCCAAGGCTGCTGGACTGAAGTGGCAAAATGGCCAGAGAAGCCTTGGCCCACCGAGAGGGGCCTGGTGCCAAGGCGGCCTTGGAAGGGACAAAGGCAGGCTAGCCGGAGGCCCAGTGAGAACATCCTGCCCATGACCCTGTACTCTCCACCTGGAGACACAGAGGACCCCAAGACAGAGGGGCAAGACCTGGGCTCTGCCTCCCCAGCCCCGCCTGTCCAGATGGGCAGCCAGGGGGCCCCACCGGCTTCCACAGGGCCAGCTGATCCTGTAATTACCCGCCTTGACAGTCAGCTCGGCCGGCTCCATCAGTGTGTCAGAGTGCTCTAAGGTCCAGGGTGCTTCCTATGTGAGGTTCCTGATGTGGTCTCCATAACTGGACGAGGAGGGAGGGGCACTGGGCTGGACAGGCCCAGGTACAGGAGGAGAGGTCGGGGGAAGGCCAAGGTCAGACATCAGCAGACCAAACAAGTTTTGGAAACACAAGGAGCGGGAGCCTAGGACAGGGCAAGAAATGGCCTTGAACCTGAGCTGGGTCGCCCGCTAGCCCTGCCGCCATTGGTGGTGTAGTGGGTGGCCCATGGCGGCCTGGGCACGTGGGAGGCAGGTCCTCCGCACCTGCCTCAGGCCGCACTGTGGGGCGGGAGCTGCCCTCAACGGGAACGTGCAAGGAGCAGTTGACAGATCGCTGTGTGCGCTACCTGGAGGGCGTTGAGCTCGGCAGCCTCGCCTGAGACAGGCAGTGCACCCAGAACCCTGCCATGGCCACGGGACGGACGCAGCCCTCAGCAGCCTGGCATGCCACACACGGTCCTCACAAGGCCATGCCACTGACTCCCAGGGCTGCGTATACTCTGTGACCTGCTGTGGGGGGGTGGGGAGCACCACTGATGCCACACTGGTCCGCAGTGGACACAGGGTCAGCTGTGGGCCTTGGTGGCACTGCCCACTGGCCATCTTGCTATTGGGCCCAGGGTCCAGGAGAAGCTACTCAAGAGTCTTGGGTGGCGATGTGCCCCCTCATCCCGCTGGCCACAGTGAGGTAGCCACCTGAGGCTGGGAGGGCTGGCACCACGGTGGGGACTGCAGCCACTACCTCCCAGCTGGGCTCAGGGCGCCCTGAGGCATGGACCCCAGCTGGCACTCCGGTCTGACCCACAGTGGCCCCTCAGGCATCGGGTCAACAGTGACTGAACGCAGATGGGACAACCGGTGGACAGACAAGAGACATGGACAGACAGACGCCTGCCGACTAGTGGCAAGGCAGTGAGTGTGGGGCTGGCGGGGACAGGTGGAGTTGGGGGCCACTCTTGCCCTCCCCCACGTGTGTCTGTCAGAGGCCTTGGCCATTGGCAGGCCATCACAACCGGGAGGCCACCTCGGGTGGGCCTGGAGGGAAGGTGGCCGGCCTGTGAGGGCCAGAACCAGCCATAGCAGGGTGCACACCAACGCTTATCCCCAGGTCACAGCACCGAAAGGTTAACAGCGGCTGCCTTTTCAAAACCCGAGTCTGAGCAAACTGTCCCCTTCTCTCGGATTTTCTGTATTTTTGACCATCTGTAAACACGGGACACTTGGGAGAAGTTTCCGCAGAGGTCACAGGATGGATCACTTCAGCCTAAGAACACGCGAGAATCCAGTGAAACCTGCCTGGTGACTGAGAGCCTGATCACAGCGGTAAACTAAAAGATGACTTCATTCACCTGATCGTCGTTCAAAACGCGAAGTTTCTACAATGCGCCAAATTAAACACCATCCGTGATCCCGAGTCGTTCAGAAGCACGCAGTTCCACAAGGCACCAAGTAGTTTCTGATAGCTTATTTGCTTACAGACTTCGGGCATTTGCATATTTATTACTTATTCAAGCGCTTGAGAATTTCAAGAGGTGTAAACTGAGAATCTAGAAACTCTAAGAGGCTGTGGCCTGAGGGGACAGTGGGCAGCTGCCCTAGGTGCAGCTCTGGTCACAAAGATGGGGAGGATGGTGCAGGGGGGGCGGGACAGAGGGACAGGCGGGAGCAAGGACGGGGCTGTGTGTCTAAGCAAGATGAAAGCAGGGAGGTGACGCTTTGCTCCCCTTGGATTCTACTCGGAGTTCCCAGGCCACGCGGGGATGGCGCTTAGGCAAAAATGAACGCGGATGCTCTTTCTGTAAGGAGGCGCCGGGCCAGGCTGGCTGCCAGCAGCTTAGATGGACCACACCTGGTGGCTCGGGGGGGGGGAGCCAGTCCCTGCCTGTCCCAACCTCCCAGAGCCACTGCCCCGATGACCCCTCCTGAAATAACCACGCGTCACGGCAGGACCGGGAGCCACACTGGGGCCACAGCACCACCTCCTCTCGCCAGGCCAATGATAGGAAAGCCCTTGTCACCTGAATCTGCAGTCCACGTAGGGTCATCACCTACTTTGAACATGACACTTCTGCTGCTAGAACTGCCACCCCTAAGGACTCCTCACCACACCTGTGCACGACACCATGGGCACGCTGCTCACGCCATGGGGCGAGGTCTCCTCTTAGGAAGCCCCTGTCCTACCCTGTCACAGGCCAGCACTACGCACACAGCTCACACAGGCAAGCGGGCCAGCCCACTGCCCAGCCCCACCTGCCCCAGGGTCCAGCCCACTGCCTGTGGACTTGGTCCTGGCTCCTCCGGCACCTTTAGCCCGATCACTAGCCTTACAGCTGTGTGGGAGGCTTGTCCCTTCCCTTCCTGTGGGCTGTGCTGCATACTGACCTCTGGCCACGCTCTGGCCCCTCTGAAGGAGCCCAGTCTGTCCCTCACATGATTACTAAAAGTCCTCCAGGATGAAGCTACCTCTGCACAGTGACAGCCCCTGTGTTGTCCCAACCCTCAGGGTGGAACACAGCGGAGACAAGCAGGCGGCTGATGGGAACAAAGTGAGAGGGCAGGGCTGAAACCAAGCAAGGTGACGCGATGGTCAGTGTGTTCCCTCCTGCCCTGGCAGACTGAGCCTTGGTGACGCAGTGACCTCTCAGCTGAGAGGTGCCAGCACTCCGTGTGGGCTAACCATCTGGGTGGCAGCGCGGGGCCTACCTTGAAGACGAGGCAGTCGGCCTTGTGCTCGGCGTACTGCGAGGTGAGCCGGTACTGGCCCTCTGTGGTCACGTCCACCTGGTAGCCCGTGAGCGTGTAGCAGGCCTTACGGAACTCCTGGATCTTGCTCTGGAAGACCTCCTTGAGCCGCTGGTTCTTGAGCTCCGCACTCTCCACCTGCTTCCGCAGCTCTGCAGGGAGAGGCAGGAGGTGAGCTCGTCGCCCAGCTGCACATGACCCAAGGTGGGGACAGGGACACTGACGAGAGCCAGGTGGCAAGGACAAGCCACGCCCCCCCCACCCCGCCCGGAGTCCCAGCTGCCCGGGGACAGCCGAGGCCAGTGCCATATCTCGAGCCTGGATCTGTGTGGCCAGAGGAAGCCGGGTGACCCGGGGGCAGTGACAACAGGAACCACAGTAACTTCAGCAGCTCTAAAGAAAAGTGACCCAGAGGGACAGGTACCCCAGGCTCCAAGCTCAAGTCTGGCTTGGAGCCTTTTGGGGGCCCGGCTGAACATGGGCAACATGGCAGCCTCCCCAAGTCACCGTTGGTTAGGAAATATGGTGGGCAGTGCACTTTTACAACAGGCCCGCAGAGTCCAGGGAGGCAGGTCTGAGGCAGACGTCCTGGGGTGCAGGGGCAGGGTAGACCTGGGTACTTCTGACTACCCCCAGGCTTTAGCCCGAGTCCCTGTGTGGCTGGACACCTGTCCCCACATAAGCCAGCATAGCACCTGGCATGGACGGAAGCCATCATTTTACCACAGGGGTCCACCTGCCGGCCACGAGACAAGACCACTGGTGAGGAAGCCCCTCCCACCCCCTGCAGCGGTGTCTGGGGGCTCCAGTTGTGGGGATGGATTACTCAGGGCAGACCCCCATCCCAGCCACTCGGGAAGCCAGCTGTGCAGAGCTACCAGGAAGACGCACAATTACCCTCAATCTCTCACCCAAGGTGTCTTTCGAGCAATTAAACCTTGATTTATCTCCCCGTTAATTAAGGAGCGTGGCTCCGAACAGTTTGCTTTCTGGAGGTCCTGCCTGAGCTCAGGGGGGCCCGGCAGGCCCAGGTGGGGCAAGGCCCAGTTAGCCATGGGACACTGGAGAAACAGGCCCTGGACTCGGCCGGACCTGGGCGAGCCCTGACTGCCCACAGCGTGAGCTGGGGCCAGCCGCCAGCTGTGACAGCTGTGACGGCTGTGACGTGGGTCGAGTTCCCTCAGGCTGAATCAAGGCACAGGACGGCCAGTATCTGGCTGGGACAAGGAGGGAAGTTAATGTTTGCTGTGACGTGTGCTCACAAAGGGGAATCTTCTGTGTTCAACCCTCTGAGCCTGAGTGAGCCCAAAGGGCCAACCCGACGGCCCCGCTGCACTGTACAGGAGTGGGAGGAAGATGTCTGAGGACCCGGTGGCCCGGCCACAGCAACAGCGGGAACGTGGGTACCACAGGCTGGGGGCGGTTAAGGGGCTGTGTGCAGCGTGGATGGCTTCTGAGAGGAGGGGAGTGAGGATGGGAGAGCCGAGGGCAAGGGAGAAGCCCTGGAGCTTCCCATCCGGGTTGCTGCCTCCACATCCTCACCCATCACCAGGATCCAGCAGGCCACAGGCTGGAGGCTCCATGATGGCTCCAGCTCAGTCCACCCATGTGGACTTACTTTACTGCCCCAGTACGGTGACATGGGGACAAGCACGCTCCCCATCTTACACGGAGCCCGAGGCTCGGATAGGCCATGCGGCCCTCACACCGTGCCGTTCAGCCTGCTGCAGGACCATGCGCTGAGCTGGGTGTCCTGAACTGGGGGTGTCAGAGGGCGGCACCTGTCCACCAGTGGGTTGTGGCCGCCTGGTCGCCGGCCCTGCCCTGGCTTCTCCTCCATTCATCACTGTGCAAAGGCCTTGGTGGACACCTTACTCACAGCCAAGAACCCTCCAATGGGACACGGGCCCAGAACCCTTGATTAATGGAGTAATCGAGCTATGAAATCAAAAGGCTAATTGGCAGCCCTGACCCCAATTCTTCTGCGTCCTTCAGCCAATCCACCCAGGACAAGGAAGCCGACACCACGGAGAGGGGACTGTCACTGCCCACACCACAGGGCCTTATTTCAGCCCTGCCAGGGACCACACGCCTTTGATGAATCTCAGATGATGGGTGGGAAAAATTAAATCTTGGTGCAGGAATCGGGACCCTTCTGTCCAGTTCACAGACCTTGAGGCTCGGGCCACAGGAGGCCACAGCCACGACTGGTCAGTGCGTCTCCTGCAAGGAGTGGATACAGGGCCACTGGCCACGTGCCAGGCACCTCAGAGCCACAGCTCAAACAAGGCAGGCCTGTCACCCTTGCTGGCTTGGACAGGGAGTGGTTTCCTTCAGGACAGAGGGGCTGACCCTGTCCTGCTGAGCCAGGTGTGGGGAGCTTCACGTGAGGCGGCCAGGGAGGGAAGCCTGTAAGCCATTGCTCCGTCTGGGGCCCTGGGAGGTGGATGTGTTGACCTTGCGTTGTTTTAGCAGTTCAATGGCTTACATAAACAGCAGTTAATAATTTGCATGGCATTTGGATTATAGGGGTTTCCACCTTAGAAGCACCACTTTTTGATTAGCGGCGCTCAAAGGACAAGCCTGCCACTGAAGGTAGGATCTGTGGGCCGGGGACAGAAGTGCTGGACAGGCTCTCTTGTGTCCAGTACCCAGGAGGCCGGGCACCCACTCCTGGGCCTGAGGTGCCGTTCTCGGGTGTGTAGCTGAAGATGCTCTCAGGGAGGGCTAGCAGGTGGCCCAGGTGAAAAACACAGCCACCAGCCTCAGGCCTTGCCTGCCAGGCCACTTGCAGTGCTGGGGGGTTGTCAAGGACACCCTGGGACCAGGACCCCAGGGAAGGGCAGCCTTGTTCTACAGAGCTATTTTCCCAGCCCCCATGGCCAGCCGGGTCTGCCCCCCGCGCCATCGCTGGCCTTTCTTGTTGCTGAGTCCTGTCACCTGCCCAGGGAAAAGGCCCGGCCTGCTGGCCTCCTCCTGCCCTAGGTATCGCCCTCTCCACACGTCTGTGCTGTGTGCCTCAGTGTCCTGCAAACACCTCTAGCCAACCCCAGGCAGGACTGCCTACTCCCTCCCCTGCACAAGTCCTGGTGAGGACAGCAGAGGCAGGAATGTGGCAGGCGACACGATGGCAGGGCCGAGGGGAGGGACGTGACTGCTTGTTCAGAGGCAAGCACGGGCATGGGCTGGGTGGGCTGCCACGGGGGACTGGGGCAGGCCAGGCCTGGCTCCTGAGGCCCACCATGAGCTCAGCCCTCTGCCACTGGCTGCTCCAGCCACGTCCAGGGAGGCCACAGGACAGCTCTGACCTGATACCCCTCCACCATCTCAGCCCAACACCCGGCCCCTCCTGGAATCGCAGAGGCAGCTGTGAAAGTCCTGTGGGAAGGACAGAGAACAAAAATAACCTGCGCTCTGCCTGGTAACGGCTGGCAGGACAGGCGCACCTGCCCGCGAACAGACATGCCGGGAGAAAGGCGCGCTCACAGTGCGGGTCTCTGGAGCCCAGCTCGGCCTGAAATCCGGCCGAAACTGGCAGGGCAGTGGAGCAAGTGACACAGACACGGGGACAGAGAGGAGGCCAGGCAGGAGCCTTTTCCCATCAGCCTGCGGGCAGAAGGGCAGGAGTCGGGTGCAGTGTGCAAGGCGCCCTTCATGCTCGCCAGGTCACACAAGTGACAACCCCTCTGGCTTTCATCAGGCCCAGTGGGCTGATGGAGACCCTGGAAGAGGAAGTGACCTCCAGCAGGAGCCAGGGACAGTCCAGTACAGATCCCCCTTGAGAGAGAAGCACAAAACCTCCACAGAAAACTTCAGGTGTTCCCGAGGCTCATGAGGCCAAACGGGGATCTGGTGTCACTAACAGCGCTTGGTGACACATCGGTCAGAGTGCCAGCCAGGAAAGGTACAGCCCCTCCAGTGCCAGGCAAAGCTGGGTGGGACAAGGGGTACCTGAGTGTGTCCCGGGCCTTCTCAGCAAAGATGACACGGGGGCGACAGGAAACAGGGACCTGGGAGGGGACAATGAGATGTCTGCACTGACATCTCAGTACAATCGCCATCAGCAGGGCAGGAGTGGTGCTGAGCTGGGGACGGGGCCCCGAGGGCACGGCCAATGAGAGGAATCCAGGGCGGAGATGGCAGATGCTGGCTGTGGGGAGAAGCACTGAGCGGAATCTGACAGCTCCTCCAGAGACTTCCAGAATGAGTCAGGCACATCAACGCGGAGAACCAACAGATGAAAGACTCCGGCAGCCTGTGGTCCCTGAAGAACAACACGGCTCCAACACCAGACAGGACAGACAACCGGGCAACCACAGGACCCAAGTCGCAGTGCCACACAGACTCAACGCTGCTCCGAGCAAAGTCTGGCGAGGGATGTGTGCTTGTGTGGTGTGTGCCCGCTCCGGCTGGGGGAGAACGAAGGCTTCCCCTCCGCCAGGAGGCCAGGGAGCGGCCACAGGTCGGGGGCCGTGGCAGGGGACCTGCCCGTCTTGGTGCACGTACGTGGTGGCATGTGAGCCTTTATCACCTCGAGGCTTAGAAACGGTCTGAGCGTGAGTGGGACGGTCCTGGGGGAATCACAGCAAGACGAGCTTCCTCGCGGCTGGCAGAGGTGCCCACACACCTTGCTGTGACTGAGGAGGGTCTCTACGAGAGGGCTTCTGTGTGAGGACACTGCGGCACCTGGAGTGGCTCGGGCCACACCAATCTCCTCCCTCCCTAGCCTAAGAATGGCCTCTACCTTCCTTCTTGTCCCCCTCCCTTGGCCTGGTCATTTGCCGGAGAGGGAGCCCAAAGGAGGGCACAGACCAGTGGAGCTGCTGACCTAGGAGACTCCCGTTAGGAGCTGGAAGCAGCTTTCACAATGATCCATCAGGGATTTGGGACAAGCCATTTTTCTTTCTGAAAAGTGAATAAAATCCACTTAACCAATGCTGGGATTTTTCAGGCTTTAAAAGAGCCACAAACAGAACTAATTCTTCACCACCTGAAACACCCCACCTGGTGGATGAGCCAGCGTGCAGAGAATAGTGTGAACTGGGCTCCCCTGGGTGTCCACTTTCTGCCCATCTCTGGTCTGGGGCTCCCTGACCCCTACTGGGGAGTGGGCTCACTGGGTGCTGTCTCTCATGCCAGCTGGATGGTCAGA